AGGGGCGCGAGCGATGCGGGCTTCTCACACTAGACGCTCTGCCCCGAGCCTGGACATTACACCATGCTATGCATCCGAGGACCCCCGGAGTAGGGCTTGGCCAAGAGGGGCACAGAGTGGACGCTGGGAGAGGTGGCACACGAATTCCAAGATCTCAGGAGAGACGCGGACAACGGATGCCCCAGAGCCGGTAGTGGAGGCCGGCGTCGCGCAGAATCAGGGGGTCGGGTGTTCTGGGGAGCAGCTGAAAGTGCAGAGCTCCGCACAGCACGAAGTTCGCTTGAGGTGGGAACTTTGAGGGTGGCAGAGTCAGGCTCTCCCTGTCCCGAAGATCTGGGGCAGGCGGTGTTTGGCAGTACAGATTTGTGGTTTAGATATAAGGGTATCCAAGGAAGGTGGGGACCGAGACTGCCGCCAACGAGCCGGAGCTCGGTGTGGACCAGAGTATGAAGGACAGTGATGGGCACCCAAACGAGAGAATGTGAACCCCTGGCAACTCCGTAGCTCCGGGGTACGGGCCCAAATGCTCTAAGGGGCCGCCCGGGAGCGCCCAGCAGAGACGGCTGGAGAAGCTGTTGTGGGACAGACAGGGGACAGCCCAGCTGGGGCATGGCCGGCGGGCCAAGAGTCGAGGCCAGGACTGGGCACCCGGGTCGAGGTAGAGTGGGTGTCTGGATGGCTGGTCATGGGCCAAGACGAGGTCAAGGGTATCTCACGCCCAGGAGAGTAAAGATGTGAGGGGCGATGCGCGATCAGAGAGCCAGAAAAAGTGACCGCAGGGCCGGTCCTGGCTGGGTCGCGGCCGTGCTCTCTGGGCGCCGGGGCCCTCGAAGACTGCATCCAGGGTGGTGGCCACAGACAAGGGACGGTGGAGGGGCCGCGCGGGGTTTCCAGGCTCGGATCCCGAGGCGCGCAGACCCCGCCCCTCCGTGAGCCCCGCCCCCGGGGCGGGCCAGCCATCTGCTTCACATCCACGCCGCGCCTCCTCCTTCTCCTCGGCCTCCCTGGCCCCAGGAATGCGGCCTCGGCTGCGGGCGGGACGCGCCTGCAGAGGGGGAGGGCGCCTTCGCCTGGCCCTGATGACCGGCCCCCCGGACCTCAACTTCGCTGCTCAGACTTCTCTGGAGACCGGCAGGCAGACTATGACCTGGCTCTTCATGCCCTTGCCGTCGGGGGTTATGCTCAGGATGGGAGGGTAGGAGCTGAGCTTCTGGGGAACCTCCTCCGCTGCTGAGAGAGCTCAGAGAGTCCAGTTTCCCTCAGCAGTGTGGACCAAGGCATCCTGGTTTTCACCTCCACAAAGTGAGGCTGATGTTGGTACCCAGCTGGCGGGCTAGGTGATCCCTGTGTTCACATATGAAGAGGGTTTAGTAGAGGGAGGCTTTTTGTGATACACTGCTTTTTTCTCTCTTTACTCCCCCTTGTTAGGTTCCCCATCAAGGCTCCCCTCCAGCCAAGGGAACAATGAGGCAGGAGAGTCTGAGTGAGCACTCCCCTAATCACCTTGTGTGCAGGTGTGGTCTTTGGGACAAATACAGTAGTGGAGCCAGGCACCCCAGTCCCAAAAAGAGACTTAGTCTCGGTGTTGAGGAGGACTGAAGGATTGAGATTTCTGTCTTATGGTGTGATCTGGGGACACCACCTTGAGGGCCTGTAGGAGAGAGTATGGTCTCTGCCCTGCCTGTCCCAGAGTTCAGAGAACAAGGAGCTACGATGGAGGACAGAAAAGACCAGCAAGGGAAGTCCTGGAGAAGCTGCAAAGGGAAAACCCTCACAGGTGATAAATGGGTCTGTCTCCTGTTTTGAGGACTTGGAGTTTTGTTTTGGGGGCCATGGTAACCCCAGGGGGCTTTGCACAGAGGAGGTGCCAGGCTTGGCGGTCCTCTGTCCTTGTACTGGATGGAAAAGAGAACTCAGTGAAAAGTTGTGGGATTTTAATGGCTTTAAGAGTTTTGGTGGTCTCAGAGTTAGAAGCTGTGCTGTAATCCTAAAAGCATGCCATTCGAATCCACCTGCTGCTCTGTGGGAGGACAGGCAATTTCCTCCCATGTGATTAACTGCCTCTGAAAACCCTCTGAAGGGTCAGCTATGGGTTTGTTCTGACTCGACAGATGTTGCTTGAAGGGCAGAAGTGACTGCTTCTTGATGGATCTGGTGTGGACCGAGAGGGATATTGCCTGGATCTCCTTGACACAGATCGGGAAGCTGAGGGACAAGGTGGTTGAGGAATCCCATTTGCACTGGTTGCCTGTGCCAGAGGCTCCCTGTCAATGCCAGCACCTAGGAGAATGGGCTGGGTGAAATTCTGGAGGCGAGGGGAAGTCCCTGAGTGCTGTCTGTGGATAAATACCAGGGAAAGGGTGTGGGGGTACAAGAGTGAATGCAGGCAGAAGCAAGTCCTGGTGCCAGCAGGTGCCTGAAATCAGAATGGGTCCTCTTGTGTGGCCTGAGTGGCTTGGGGAACCTCTTTGGTGGTGTTTGAGGGGAAGCAGGTGACACTGGCCTGAGAGCTTTGTGTGGTGTGGGCATGATGGAGAGGTTTAAGAAGAGGGAAACTAATAGCTCAGTTTGTGGGGAACAGTATTCTGCATGGGGTCAGCTCCTGGGGGACTCACAGAACACTCCCTGTGCCAAGCTCCCTGCCTCCACCTCACCTTCCCAGAGGTGTCCCACCAGGTTCTTTTCCAGGAAGGAAAAAACTACTGTTTTCAGACTTGTTCTGTTCAGAGGAGACTAATATAGGCACTGACTTGATTGAGGCGGTGGCATTTCAGGCGGTTGAGGCATGCTGGAGTGGGGACTGGGTTCCTGCCATGATGGGCTTGACAAAAGAAACACAGAGATGTCTAGAGCTTGCTCTCAGAGTCCTCTGGTCCAACACAGGCTGGAGGATACATCACAACTACGCTCTTAGTGTGTGGCCCCCATCATCAGTCGTCACACCAAACCTACAGGCCTCGGGTCTGCAGTGAGGAGTACAGCTCCATGAGGCTAACCACCATACCTGAGGTCACAGGATTCACACCCAACACAGCCAGACTCCTTGCCACAACACAGACAGGAGGGTGGGCCAGGCTTGCAGGCTGATCCAGGGCCATCTTGGAAAGTTGCTTGCAGGAGGGAACCCCAGTCCAGGACTAGTAGAAGGAACAGCAGAGTGATGGGCAGATCTGCTTGGACAGGATCCCTCTCAGATGGACATGTAGGGGCTCTGTGCCAGAACTGGGTGGGTGAGGTCACTATTTTTATCTTATTTTTGAAAAATATGCTGAGACCTTTTGCTGTCTTTGACATTTCCACAGGTCCCACTTCTGGCCTGAGGAAGAACTGGTCCTATAGTGTTTACAGGGAGGGATAGGATGCCATCTTGACCCTCCTCTGAAGTTTGAGTAGGAGACCCTCATTCCACCCTGATGGCCTGGTGTGGGGTCTGCTGCACCCTTTCTCAGGAAACCAAGCCTCTCAGGGCCCAGCCTTCTCCCACTCTGTGTTTTGTTTCTAGATTCACATTCTCCTGGAGAAGCAAACTTATTTTCAAGTGTGAATGGCTGCTGGGTGCCTTTAGGAATAGCATCAAGTGCTTTTTGGGCTTTGTGGAAATCTGTAGCCACAACGATTGTACCCTCATCCCTGTCACCTTTGGATACAGGGGTCATGGCTTCACTTGGGCTATTGTTAATGTGTAGTGCAGTGGGAACCCACGCATAGCTGACCTTCCAGTGGGTTTTCAGAGACAGTAAATCGCGGGGAGGAGACTTCCCCTCTGCAGCAGCTGGTGGACAGGAACGGCTTACCTTTAGGTAATCAACGCAGCTCCTTACCACTAGGCTACCAGAGCTCCCTAAACGAGGGAGATCGCTCATCTTCCCCCACCCCGCACCCCCTCCAGATCAGCTGGTGGATACCAACCTTTGGGCTGCTGTCACCAAAGTATTTCCCTGTCCACTGGGCCACCAGAGCTCCCCACTTGGACAATGATGGTTAAATCTTTGCACACAGCCACCCCAGTACTTTATGAATGTAGACCCCACATCAACCCAAAGTGTGGCCATTAGAAATCATTTACCCATTTGAGGCTAAATACAGTTAAATGTAGGAAGCCATGCTGCTAACTCAGAGGCAGTGCCTCTCTGATGGTAGGAATCCACCAGCCGTGTACTCTGCACCTGTGCATTTTGCAGCCTAAGTAAAACCCGCTGGAAGGTCAGCTATGAGTCAGTTCTGACTTAACAGCAGTGAGTTCTCCACCTGTCTTGCCTCCATCACAGGTGCCCCCGCATGGAGGTGGCACCTCATACCCAAGAGTCTCTACCCCCACTTTGGAATTGCAGCTTCTTAACCACCAGAGCTCCCTTCTACCCCTGCTTTGGAATCTTTTTCCCCTCCCAACTCAGAGGCTGAACTTCTGCCCTGGTGTACAGCCCTCAGCTGGGCATCAAAGGGTCCTTTCTAACCCTTCAAGCCCAGCCTGGAACATCCAATCCCTGACACCCAACTGACCAGACCCAACCCTCAAGGATGCCCAGGACCCTGCCAGCCTCCATGCTGCCACTCCTTCTCTCAGACCTCTTTTCTCAGTCGTAGTGCCTGGGGAGGGAGGCCTTCCAGGTCAAGGTAGTATGTCCCCTACCTTTTCCCTTTGTTCCCTCCCTTTGCGCCTGGACTTGGCTTTCTCTTTCACTGCGGGGGGGTGTGGGTGGAGGGGTGGAGATGGTCCTGCCCCGCTGCCAGGTTTAGGTCACCCGGCAGGATAGCAGAAACAGTGGTGGGCAGGAAGGAGCACATGCAGGCTCAGTAACCCTTCCTCTACCCGCAGCTCCCTCGTGCTAGCGTGCTGCACAGGCTGGAGGCAGCAGGGGGACGAATGCGGGATAGGTGAGTGGGCTTTTCTGAGGGGTGGGGAGCGTGGAGAGCAGGAGTGTAGGAGTAAGGCGCTGCAGCTCAAGCCCCTCTCGTTACCAGCGGTGTGTGAGGGCAACTCCACATGTTCGGAGAACGAGGTGTGCGTTCGGCCAGGCGAATGCCGCTGCCGCCACGGGTACTTCGGTGCCAATTGCGACACCAGTGAGCACGGGATCCGACAGGGTTGGAGCTGGGCAGTGGGGCGGGGATCTCAGAGCTGGGAGGCTGGGGTAGGTAGGGTCTGGCCTAGGAACTCAGCTCGGCTTGGGGAGAAGGGGCAAGTTGGGAGCAGGGAATGAAGGGATTGTGGATGGGACCGCCAAGGTTACAGTTTGGCGAGTTCACGAGCACCTTCCACTCGCCACTGCAGAATGTCCGCGTCAGTTCTGGGGTCCTGACTGCAAGGAGCTGTGCAGCTGCCACCCGCACGGACAGTGCGAGGACGTGACTGGCCAGTGCACGTGCCACGCGCGACGCTGGGGCGCCCGATGCGAACATGCATGCCAGTGCCAGCATGGGGTGTGTCACCCGTGGAGTGGAGCGTGCCGTTGCGAGCCGGGCTGGTGGGGCGCGCAGTGCGCCAGCGCGTGCTACTGCAGTGCCACGTCACGCTGCGACCCTCAGACCGGCGCGTGCCTGTGCCATACTGGCTGGTGGGGCCGCAGCTGCAACAACCAGTGCGCCTGCAACACGTCACCCTGCGAGCAACAGAGCGGCCGCTGCCAGTGCCGAGAGCGCACGTTCGGCGCGCGCTGTGAGCGCCTCTGCCAGTGCTTCCACGGCCGCTGCCACCCGGTGGACGGCACATGCGCCTGTGAGCCGGGCTACCGGGGCAAATACTGCCGCGAGCCCTGTCCCGCCGGCTTCTATGGTCAGGGCTGCCGCCGTCGGTGAGCACGGGCCCTGGAGAGGGCGGGAGTGGGGGAGGGATGGGCGGGGAACAGCTCATCAGTCTCTGCTGAGCCTCCCACCTCTCCGCAGATGCGGCCAGTGCAAGGGCCAGCAGCCGTGCACGGTAGCCGAGGGCCGCTGTTTGACTTGCGAGCCGGGCTGGAATGGCACCCAGTGCGACCAGCCGTGCGCCGCCGGCTTCTATGGTGAGGGCTGCAGCCATCGCTGCCCCCCGTGCCGCGATGGGCACGCCTGCAACCACGTCACTGGCAAATGCATGCGCTGCAATGCGGGGTGGATCGGAGACCGGTGAGTACAATTCACCCTTATCAGGCCCCAGAAACAGTTCATCTAACCCTCCCTCAGAGCTTTACCACAGACCCTCTTGGGGTCTTTGGGTCCCCTTGTCCTTACTGATGACTTCTCCCTGCCTTCCCAGGTGTGAGACCAAGTGCAGCAACGGCACCTATGGTGAGGACTGCGCCTTTGTGTGCGCGGACTGCGGTAGTGGCCACTGTGACTTCCAGTCTGGGCGCTGTCTGTGTAGTCCTGGCGTCCATGGGCCCCAGTGAGTGCCCAGGAGCTCAAAAGGAGCTGTGGTGGCAGGAGTGAGTGTGTGTGTGTGTGTGTGTGTGTGTGTGTGAATGTTGCCATGTCCAATCCCAGGGGCTTTACGCTGGCTGAAGTGATGGGGCCTAGGATATCCCTCCCCGCCGTTTCGAGGGACTTGGTGTTGAATGCAGAGATTAGGGTCTGGTCCCTCAGCACTGTCCATCCACAGAGGAGCCAAACCTAGAAATGAGCCTTTCGCTGGGTGACCACAGCCCTGTACCCTAAAGCCTGCCCTGTTGCACATAAAACTTTGCAAAATTACACACACACACACACACACACACACCCTACCTGTGTGTGCCCGTGTGCTCAGAGGTAGGGTGGGGTTTCACTCTGTGGAGGTCGAAACTGGAGAACCTGATTCCTCTTTAGGGCAGGTTGGGGGAACCCCACTGGAGGGCCGTTCTGCCCTGCTCTGATCCCACATCCTCTTTAGCTGTAATTTGACATGTCCCCCCGGGCTCCATGGCGTGGACTGCACCCAGGCCTGCAACTGTCACGAAGAATCCTGCGATCCAGTCACCGGTGCCTGCCGCCTGGGTGAGTGGCGTCCGGAAGTGGGGATCCAGAGGGGAGACCCAGCGCCAGTGCTGATCCCTTGCACCGCTCCCCACAGAGACCAACCAGCGCAAGGGCGTGATGGGAGCTGGCGCCCTGCTTGCCCTTCTCCTGGGCCTGCTCCTCTCTTTGCTCGGCTGCTGCTGCGCATGCCGCAGGAAGGACTCAGGGCGCAGGTGAGGCCCCATCCCACGCTCGCTCTCGCCAGCTCTGCCCAGGCTGTCAGGTCCAGCCCCTCAGTTTGGGCTTTGGTCTCACTCTTCCCCGCTTCACTGATCCTTAACTAAAGCCTCCCCTGGCAGGGAACTCTCTCTAGGGAGGAAAAAGGCACCCCAAAGGCTATGCGGGCGCTTCAGCCGCATCAGCATGAAGCTGCCTCGGATCCCACTTCGAAGGCAGAAGCTGCCTAAGGTCGTAGGTAAGGACACTGGTTGGGGGGGGGTCATTGGGGAAATGTTTCCCTCCAATACTGGACAGATAGCTGGGCATCAGGAGGGGTGACCAGAGGAAATGGTAAAGTGTGAGTAGAGCAGGGGAATGAATGCTCGCTTCTGTGAGTGATGGTGGTCTGTGGCCCTCCGGGCCAGGCGTTCTTCCTTGCTTCCGCTCTTCCAAGTCTGCACAAGTAAGCTGAACATCCCAATATGGAAGTGCCCTGTTTTCTGGATCCCATCAGGGCACTGGTCCTTTCCCCCTTGTTTTAAAAGCTGGGGGGGGGGGTGAGAACTCCTGGGAGGTAAAGATGGAGGTAGAAAAACCCATTTGGGCCATTATGTAATGCGGGATCTCTGGACTTGACATCCTGTGAAGTGAGGCAGGCTGGCCCCAGCCTACTGGTGGTAACAGTGCCAACTGCTACCACTTTGGTCTAACTCTCTCCAGCATATTAACTGCATGCTTGCCCAGTATACTTGCACTGTTGTGACCCGTATCTACCTTGTTCATGGCCAGCTGGGCTGGTGGATGTGGTCACTTCATCAACAGACATCATGGCTTGTTTCTGAGGGTACAGTCTGGGCAGGCCCAGCCCCTGGCAGCCATGCCTCCCTCCTCCCCCAGTAGCCCACCACGACCTGGATCACACACTCAACTGCAGCTTCCTGGAGCCACCCTCAGGGCTGGACCAGCCATCCCCTTCCTGGTCCTCTAGGGCCTCCTTCTCTTCTTTCGACACCACTGACGAAGGCCCGGTGTATTGCGTACCCCATGAGGGTGAGTGCAGCCCTGTTTGGGCGTTTCTCCAGCCCAGAGTTTAGCAAACTGGAAAATGTTCAGAGGGAGAGCTCTGGGCTCCCACAGGGTGGAACATGTTAGTGATGCTAAGTGCTGTAGGGAGACAGGGCAGGGCTTGCTAGACTGAGCACTGCAGGGATGGCTCAAACAGCCCAGGTGTAATTTAGGGGAGGGGAGATTAGGAAGTTATTTTAGTGGCATGGTCTGCTGCTAATTCAAAGGCCACGCATCAGTTTAAATCCACCAGTGGTTCTGTAGGATTAAGATCCTCTCCTTCCATTAGGATTTACAGCCTAGAAAACCCAGTGGCAGCTTGCTTTGAGGGAGCGCTAAGTCCGTGGGGCAAGGTGAAGGGACAGCAGAGGAGTGTCAGGGAGATCTACAGAGCAAGAGATGGGTGCACCTGCACCAAGAGCTTGTGACCCACAGCAGGAATGAGGCTGTCATCTTTCCTTACAACCACTCCCCTGGGTGACTGTGGGCAAGTGACTTCTAAGCCTCACCCCTGAAAGAAAGTATGGAATCTTCTGGAGTGCCTTAGAGTTGGAACCGACCCATAGCTGACCCTCCAGCAGGTTTTCAGAGACGGTATATCACATGGTAGGAGACTAAGGAGCAGCTGGTGCATTCAAAAGCAGAGCTTTGCGATTGTAGCGCCGCTCCTTACCACTAGGAATGAATTAAACCCATTTACAAGTCCATGGTGTGGCAGGGCAGGGGATGCCAATGCACGGGGAGCTTGTCTCCTCTCACGCACTTAG